AAATTTTCCACAATCTTCCAGTCCAACGCTTATCCAACTGTGCGATACCATGCTTGTGAAACGTTTTGTCCTGTCTTTTAAAAAAGCTTCAGTTGCAGCGATGACTTTCTCGTTAGAGGCAAATATTTTACTGTAGAGCATCTTTTTGGGGGTGACAAAAGAACCACTAGTCAGTGAGGGCAGATCTGGAGAGTACAGTGGGTGGTGAAGAAGAGTGATGCCTAACTCGCTCAATTGGGCCTTTGTTTTCATTCACTTGAGGTATGGTGCATTGTTTTGATAAAAGATGATTTTGCAGAAGTAGCGTCACTTTCCTATTTGTTGTCCGAGTGACGTGAAAATCAGACCCATGTCATTTGAAGACTGGAAATTTCTAAAATAAGAGTCAAGTTGATATTGCAAACGCAATCTATCTATCTATTAATCGGCGGTCGCTAACAAATAGGCGGTCTATGGAAGATGCGAAAAATGCCCCTTCCCCTTTTCAATGTTAAGGCGGTCGATGCTAGTCATCGACTGATACGGAAGATGCGTTGGAAGTTAACACTAAAAGCCCGAGGAGGGGTCAATTGACCACATTTATATATCGCCCTTATTTTTGGCAACATACGTTTGTAGTTTTATGACTTTTTTCTATTTGGGCACTACATTAATTAAATGAAAAATGTTCATTGTAAAGAAAAAATTGGACAAGTTTTAATTTCTACTTACTACCCGACTCGGGTATATGGTTTTTGTTGGTTTTTGTACTGTATTGGATAACATTTACTGTAACTTACTTTTGTCTCATTGCTGACGCTTCGGTTTTCGTTTTTCTAGCTTTCCATAGATATTGTTTTAAGTTCTTTTATACTTACGATTCTTCATATACAGTGTGTTTGAAATAATATAGTCACCTCAATATTTCTTTTATTTGACGAGATTCGGAAAAATGGTCAAATATAATTTTGTAGGAAATCGATATGGTTGTGGTTGATATAATAGAATGGAGAAATTCGTGATTCAATATTGAGAAAACTTAGGAAATCTAGATTGCTGTGTGCTGTCAGGATGCGCGGTGTCTATTGTGTTACACAGAACACAACAGACACCGCACATCCTGACATCACAGGGCTTGCTAAGTTTCCTAAATATTGAATGTACTGGTATATCTGCGATATGCATATTTTTTATTATAGTACAACAAATTGATTGCTCTTTTTAAATATTTAAAAAAAACAGACATTTGAAAAACAAAAGTTGCCCCCATTTTCTGCCAAACCGGAAGTGATGCCGGAAGTTTCAGTATGCCATCGGATATATCGTAATATTGCATAGACAATTATATTTGGCAAGTTTTTCGCATCTCGCCAATTAAAAGAGGTATTGAGGTGAACCTCTTACCTCGAAACTGTATATGGTAAATAACAATTATAAACTTTAAGAAATAAACATTGAAGCAGTTACGGTACTTAACGAACGTCAATATAATATAGTAAAACTTGACTCCTCGTGTGGGCCATATGGGGGTATCAAAGCTTGGGTCTTGTAGTGTTAATCGGCGGTCGCTAACACAAAGGCAGTCTGTGGAAAATGCGAAAGATGTTCCTTCCTTTTCGAATCGGTCGATGCTAGTCACAGGCTGATACAGAGGAGGCGATGGATACGAAAAAATTGGTATATAGAACATGCAGGAGGTGCCCGGGTTGACCTTCCTCGGAGGTCGACACGAAAAAGTCGATCCTTCCCACATGCAAAATGTTACCTTCTCTACGACATTCTTCTTCCTTCAGACATTCAAGTTTAGACTGTGTCCGCTTCCAAAAGTGGTTTTATTTAAAGTATATCCACATGTGACGGGGAAGTGTCGCCGAATTGGTGTATAATTCGAATTAAACCTTAAATTGTATTGTATATTTACACCTATTATAGTACTTTTATTACATTAACTGTTAATATACACGTTAAACCCAGAATATTTCAATTTAGTAGACAAAGAAGTTAACATAACCTGTTACAAAAAAAATTAAGCTGTCACTTAGATTTCTCAGTTTCACCAACTTAAGAATAACGAAATATAAGTACCATAACTCCAGGTTTCGACGAAATGAAGTGGACTTTTAGCTAAGATTGTGGAAAATTTAGGACTTCTTCCGCAAATGTTGTTGTTGAAAACAGTTAATGTCTTCTAGCCATTTTGTTAATTGAATGATCGTATCCACTGAACGATACTTATACTTCGTGAATGTCGAAGTCATATCGCATCTCTAATTGATCTCCATTCTCGATCAGCTTATATCAGATATTTAGAAATTAGATTTCTGAACATGCATGGTGTTTTAACATCAGTAACGTGTTTCGCAATTCTTTTGGTTTCCAATTTAGCTTGTCTTCTAAGTAATTTCTCTAACAATCGGTAAAAGTTATCTGTGACTTAACTTTTTATCAACTTTCATAAGCCCTTCTTGTTCCATACTCTTTCTTATTTCCTTTTCTTAGTCCAGTACATCTAATTTCGTTTACCTGGGACACCCGGAACAAATCTCTTAAAGCTAAAACTTAGTGGATCACTAGGACTTGAGGTGCTATTTAACTTACTAAAAGTCCTGCCCCTGCGGTGGGAACAACCCTCACAAAAACCACCCCAAAGGTCCATTTTTTTACTTTTTTAAGAAAGAAAAGCTGACCTTTTCTAAACTATTAGAAGAACTGGAGGATCTGCATCAAAGAGTAGAAATATGTATTCTGGAACCAGATGAAAATACAGATTTAATTATAGATGCCAGAGAAGAGTTTTTATTAGCTTGCTATGATGATGATGCTAACAAAACATGCAAAAGTCTGGATAATCTGCGATTTCTTAATATATATCAACACGACTGCGAGACAAGGAGTGAATAAAAACTTGGTTGCCTACCTCCAACATGCGATCCGTCTGCCTACCATTTTTTTTATCTTGAAATTCAGAACTGAATCGGTAACACAGCTATTTCATCAACTCAATGGGGATGGGAACGAAAGAATAATATCCTAAAACCAGTAACAACAGAAAGAGCGATAGCACCGGACTTTATTTTAAAACTAGTATTCTGCAATAGTAAAGTAGATTGCAGCTCTAAAAAAGCAAATTTGAACTGCTTCAGTTTGTGTGGTCAATGGCAAGGCAATTCTTGTGAAGAGTTATAGGTAATATTAACTTATATCGTAATATACCAACGCAGGTACATAATATGTTTCCAGGTTATTTTCAGGTGAGATAGAGAGTTGGACACATATTAATACAATGTGCGACGTTTATAATAATTTTGTGATTTTAATTGTAATGATTTGATTTTTAGTTTAAAATTAGCATTGAATACAGTTCTTAGCAGAAGCAAATATACGGCTATAAAAACTCATAAATAAACAACCACCATGCGACTGGCCGAATGACAAATAGTCCAAGCCAAAAAAAAAAATATATATGTAACAAATTCGTATTTCAACCCCTTGTAGGACGGCAATGACTTACTTGGATTAAACCTTCATATACAGGGTGGTGCCTAGCGCAACGCAGCATAGGGATTTCAATGGTAATTTCTTTATAGTCAATTACTAGCTCCCCTAATTATTTTAGAGCAAAATTCTAAATAAGTTTTTTTTAGAGAAAAAAAATACTGCATCTGTTCATACTTTTAGTTATAATTTTCCATTTTTCAAAACCGTAGAAATCGATAAAATAAAAAATTACATTTTTATAAATCAGTGATGCTTTGGAATCTTTTAACACACTACAAGCGCATCGCATCTAAGTTATCGTTGTTTGACGTCGAACGATTTTCATATTTAATTCTGTTACAACTATCCGATGCAAGAAAAAGCGGCAATTGGGTAGTGTTTTTTTAGAGAATGTATGCTGCATCTGCATCAGATACTATTTGTTTATCATTTTCCGGAATCAGAGTACCTACATAATCGAAGAAAAAAAACTGATTTGGAGAAGATTTGTTCCTAAACTTATATTCGGATTGTCCGCTACTGCAGCCAAAACGTTGAATGTATTGTCGTTTTCCTGATGGTTTTGACGGACATTTTGAACGTTATTGCACTTGCAGTTCTTTAACTAATTTATAAACAAGTATAAATTTAATATACGTCAAAGGCAAATAATGAAACGTGATCGCTGTTTTTTTAGGTAATTCCAAGGCATATTTGATTTATTGTAAAATGAACCTTTTTATTTTGTCGATTTCTACGGTTTTGAAAAACGGAAAATTATGAGTAATAGCATGAACAGATTCAGTATTTTTTTCTCTAAAGAAAACTTATTTAGAGTTTTGCTCTAAAATAATTAGGGGAGCTAGTAATTGATTATAAAAAAATTACCATTGAAATCCCTATGCTGCGTCGCGCTAGGCACCACCCGGTATACCTTTTTTATAAGCTTTAAATTTTTTATCTAGTATTTTTCCATATAAACTAAAAATAAAGAAGATATTTCTGAAAAAGTTTTGGGGTTTTTGGGTGGGTTGCGCGGGGGCGGGGACTTTTAGTAAGTTAAATAGCACTCCAAGTCCTAGTGGTCCACCAATTTTTAGTTTAAAGGGATTTTGTTCCTGGTCAAACTTAGATGGACAGGACTAATCTCTCTGCCTGTTTCTTCACCGTATATAGAATATAGTTACAATTAAAGCGCTGTGGGTAACAACTTATTTTAAGAATAAGTGTGTGTACTTCTTCATCCCACTGTAGGCCATTATCACTATAAATGCAACACTACGTGGCATCTCTCCCAATAAATGTTGGGTCGTTTCTTTGCCAAATATTTTTACGGAAAGATACTTGCTCTTTAAAAAGTAAAAACTTCTAAAGTATTTTAAAGGTTAACGTTCGCGTTCGTTAGTTCTCATTTGGCATTGAACTCTTCCTTCCTATTTAACAATTTCCGCCGTATACACACGTCCCACGCCACTGAATATCGCGTAATAAAGCCAAGTACCTTCCTTACGTAGGTACTAATCGGTCGTTTTCGTAGCGTTATGCGGTCGACGGAAACGGCAACGAATTCAATGGCACCCGCGCGCAGTCATTCCGTCCCGCCTTCCGTTGACGTTTTAGGTGCGATTATCTCTGATGCGTACGTTCTATTTATAAATGGAGATTTCGACTGTAAAAAACACCACAGAATCGGCACACATTAGGCCATGGTCACGACTATCGTTTTCCGAATTTGAGGACGAGCACTTGATCAGTTTTGTTTCCAAGAATCGCTCACTGTTCGACTCCAGTGCCCATGACTACAAGGATAGTAGCGTTAAGGAGATCAAATGGGTACAGATTGCAGCAGCCCTAAATAGAACCGGTAAGTAAAATTTTTCGTATATAAATCACTTTCGTTAGTTTCGATTTAATAAACAGTATATAGATATACGTTAATTATCATTAGAAAGTAGATAACCCCCCGCTGGTTTTCCTGGCCCCCAAACGTGCTGCTCGATTTTGGCAGTGGCGTTGCCTATTCTCCGTCATTTGTTAGTCGCATAATAGAGAATTAGCAATATCCAAAAAAATAGTTTTAATTTAAATTTTTGCGTCTTTTGGTTCATTGTCATTTGAATAAACCGATTTGAGTGATAAAAAATGGTTTAACGTTGACATACCATATTTTCTGCTAACGTTGTGCATTCATTAAGAATTCGGTTTGGGGACCAATTTTCCTTATATGGTAATTTTGTAAAACAATGTATGAATATGCCATCGGAAAATTTCCACCCATTCGTCTTGCACAAGAAATTAGATTTCAGGGCAGACATCAACGAAATTATGTGAACTTTGTATTAAGATTGTGGGAAATTTACGGCTTAACCCGCAATTTTTTCTTGTTGAAAACTTATGGTGCCCTCTAGCCTAGCTATTTTTATTAATTTCATGATCGAACGAGGGGGGGGGGGGCTTAATAATGTCACGTAACCGTTAGATTCTCTAAAACATGATTCAGTGGTTACATTTACATGTTTGTATATTGGATTTCATTGTTTAACTGTAAAATAAACTTAAAATACGTAATTGAAATTAATGTAATAACGGAATTATAGTCTTAAAAGTAAAATTAGGTAAAGCCCCATCACCCCCTGTTGATGTAATTATACGGAATTATTAATAAAAATTTATTTCTTTAAAAATTAAACAGTTATTTGTTTCTGATTTAAACTACAGATATTATTCAATTTCAATAACACTTTATAAAACTCATAATTAATATAAAAAACGTTTTTGTTGCTTATTAAACCAATCTGAGCGTATTAGGAGAAAGAAAATGGATTAACACTTTTTGTAAAGAGTAAAAAACATTTTTAGAAACCAATTTTGGTTGGGGTATAAATTGCTTTTAATCGGTGCGTGAGGGGTGGGGGATTTTGAGGGGCCCACAGGCGCAAAATATGTAAAGCCGAATCGTTACGTATATACTCTTTGGCTAAATGTAACAGACATTTTGTTCCGTAAGTAATTTTGAGAGTTGAGCAAAGCCATTCCCCGGTAGTACTGTTCTCACGCTGCTACTTGGCTCAAGTATTGTAACAGAAGATTTGTGTTTTACCTGCTTGTCTTTTTGTTTTGCAGAAAAAACGTGTCGTTCATTCTATCTTCTAATTCGTGCCGGAGCACCTACTGGTTAAAGTCATAGATTTCTTTCCTCTTTCCTTTCGCAAAGCTGTTGGACAAAGAGATTTCTGATACAAGTTCCTCTGACGCGGAAGACCCAGAGCTTGCTCTTTTTGTAGAAGGTTCTGGGATGTCTGGTCTTTTAATTGTAGGTGAAGTGAATATACATTTGGTGCAAGAGAGTTGGCATTTTCCTTCTGAGGTCTGTCAATATTCATCAAATGATTGTCAACAAATAACTCTTGCTGATCTGCCACAGTGGAAGGTAAGTAATCTTCTTCCGTGAGTATATCGACGTATTCAGAGGACAACTGTGGCCGTTTTTTTATTTACTTCGGAAAATAATGAAGCCACTGGGTATTCAGTTACAGTTCTCCCAGGATTATTCAATAACCATTGCTCACAATAAGAATAAATCCCCATGATAGACATAGACATCCTTGTTTTGGACACAGCGTAGCAATACCAGCTCATATGGTGCCCATAAGAACTAAGAAAGTAGCTTCTACTTCTACATCTAGCGTGCTATGGAAATTCTGATAAATGATTCAGATTCTCCGAAACAAAATGCCCACAGAAAGTGCTAACGGGAACCGTCCATTTTCGACCGTTTAAGGTAGGGAAATTTGACATTTTCAGTTTTTCGGTGATGTCTCAATTATTATCACAGATTTTTCAAAAATGTCAAATGGGTTTTTTGAGTCACAAGGAAGTGAAAGTTTGCCCCATTTAATCTACACTGTATCTCTCACCTTTACGGAGATCCCAATGGTGAATTTGTACCACCCTGTACAGTGTGTCCTATTTTGGTTGAGACTACAGTGTACTTACCTCAGCTGTTTTTAAAGGTGGAGCCGTTAGGTTTTCGCAACTCTCAGTCGCTATTTTGTGAAACTTTGCCACAAACAGAATGAATCTAAGTATGTTTGTTTCTGATGAGAGACAGGGTGAAAACGAAAAGTTTGGGATGTTATCAAATCTTACTCCCCATGTAAGATAGAAAAAAGAATATTTTTGATATTTTTCCGTAGAAACCAATGACGTACTGAAAAAATGTTTGGACCAGAGTTTCTGAAATTTGCTCCAATGTTGGTATTTTTTAGATGCAACACCCTGTATATCTTAACGTCAATTATTTTTCATTATTTTTTCTGATTACATTGATTTATCACAACCTTTTTTTTTAATTAAGCCATGGAAACCTTATTTTCTTACTGTTTTTACCTAGTAGACCATGGTAATTTTGTTGTGCTCATTGTATCCATGGTAATCAAGGCGGCTAATACCAATCAATAAAAATTGCTGTCGGTAAAAGCATATTATTTCAAAATTTTGGAAAATATGATTATATAATATTAATTAGCATATAATAATTATACAGAGTTACTATTAAAGATGGAACGGAAGGTCTCACGCTCAAATCATATTCAAACGCTTCCATTTGAAATCATTACAAATTTTTGAGGTTAAAAAGAATTTTTTCTTATACAGGATGTTTGAATGCGACAGCCATCTTGAATTTTTTTAAATGGCAACATAGGTCATGTGATACGCCATTAGATAGATTCTTTTTTTCCTCTTTCTTACTACCTTGACGTTAAAATATACAGTGTGTTGCTTTTAAAAAATAGCAACTTTGGGTCAAATCTCAGAATGAGTTGTCCAAACATTTTTTTTACTACGCCACTGGATTCTAACTAAAAATATCTAAAATAAGCAGTTTCCACTTTTGTTCTACCTTACATGAGTAGTATGATGTAGGTAATAACATCTCAAAAAGTCGAACTTTTAGCTTTCACCTCGTATCTTAGAATCAAAGTAACTAGATTTATTGTGTTTATGGTATAAAAGTTTGACAAAACACTGGCACAGGTTCGCGAAAACCGCAAAGTTTCTATTTTTAAAAACATCTGAGATAGGTACACTGTCATCTCAACCAAAATAGGACGTACAGTCACTGTACATAACACGCTATGAAGAAGCGAAAGTTTAGTTTCAGTTTAAAGTCCGAATTTCGTTTGTTTCCCGACTTAAAGTCGGAGTTTAATTAATTTTTACATTTCTGGCTTTACATTCGAAAATAATTGAAATTTCGACTTTAGATTCTTTCTAAAACAACTAAATACCGACTGTCATAGATACAGGCTGACAGTAAAAACCCGCAGTACACTCTCACAAACAAACCGCGATATAAAAAATGGTCAAAACCTAGGATAGAAAGGGGTAACTAAAATGGCACAAGGGGTTATCTCAACCTTCGAGGCTACAACTAAACAAAATTAAAGCTAACTCCTATTTGTGAATCAAGAAAATCCTATAAAGACCATATACCAGCCAATGCTAAAAATGATAATTGTACAGAGTGTATCAATAATTACCAAATTAAATAATAATTACACAAAACATATATAGCTACCGTACTTGTGATGTGTTAAAAAAGTCCAAGGGCCAATAATGTAGTATTTCCGATGAGCATTGTCCGTAAGTACCATTTTTTTAAATAAAAACTTTAATTTCCCGTTTTTGCTGCAAATTGCAACGTTATAACGTATTGTTTATTATAGACTTTTCGGTAGGGGGTTTGCTATTTAAATGTTCTTAGTTGGTATAGGTGGGGATAGCCGAGTGCTCCCCCTTTCTACTCTACAAACAGAACAGTTAAAAGGAATATTCTAGAAATCCAGAAAGTAATCGGGGCACCACTAGCCTCCATCGAGGCGCCATTAAGTCGATAAAGGATTTGTCACCTGCGATAAGGAATGAAATCGAATGCGAGGCATTCTTTCCTTGAAGTATGATACACTTCCTAAAATATTCGAGCATGTTCCTTGATTTTTGCTAGACAATTTTCATTTGTTATATAAGCAAATTAAATTGTGTTTAAAGGCAGTTCCAACATCGATGCCGAAGTGATTATTTGATTTGATTTACGTAGTATCTATGCAATCATCCTTAATGTTTTAATTTTGTGACCTCCAAACAATTTTATCTGAACTCTTTTAATTTAGCGGCACTTTTGTTTAAACCAGAAATTGGCATCTTAACTTTCGTTCTTTTAAGTAAGTGATACATTATATTCGTGCTTGTTTTTCATTTTAAGTAAAACTGGGTAATGTTTATGATATGTAGGTGTACACAAGATTTACACAATTTACAAGAGAAAAATTCTTCTTTTGAGATTCAAAACATCGCAACACCGTAAGGTATTTACTGGAATTTACTAACCGTGGATATAGTGATTACACAATGTTGGCAGAATGATGCTATGCGCATGAAACGTATCTGAATCTCTGAAAAAGCTCAAACAAATCTAGGATTACAGTGTTGGGAGAATATTCATTTCTTGCTTACTCCTAAAATTAGATAATACCTACTTAACCTGGTGGAAATTTTGGGCCGTAACTAATTTTTATGTATTGCAGCCAAACAATGCAAAGTGAGATGGAAACACATTCGTGACTACTATCGAAAACAAAAGAAATCTGCCGCGTTTACCAAATGTACCCAACCAAGGAAAAGGATGTACGCGGAGAGTTTGAGGTTTTTGGACGATGCCGAGGCGGAAAAGAAGTGAGTTGCGTCTTTTCGGCGTCTACGTAAATCAATTGTTTTTCAGTTGTATTAATAAATGTGAACCGGACGTGGAATTTTACGTAAAAACCGAGACCGAATCCGTTACGGACGACGAGACACCGTCAGTCATTGGTACTATAGAAGAAGAGGTCTATATAGTTGAACCTGAAGAAACCGCAAGTTTACAGTGCAATGGCGAGTCCCGTTTGGAACCCACGATAAAGGAGGGAGAGATGTTTCAGTGTAGCAAAGAAGCGGTAAACAGCGTCAACAAAGTTTTAGAGGCCGGTTTGGAAGGTGACGTCGACTTGTTCTTCAAAGCGATGGCGGCCACTGTAAAAAAATTTCCACCTCATACTCAGGCAAATGTGAAGTTAAAAGTGTTTCATATGATATATGAGGAAGAGATGAGACAAATTTCATTTAGTCCTTCCGTGGTCAAGAGCTAAGCGCTTACCGCGTGTATATTTATTTTACTCTGTAATTTAGTTTTGTACATACAGCCATATTAGTAGGGATTAAATTCGCCAAGTTGGGGAGCTAATCGAAATAACGTGGGGAACTTTATTACACTACCTACCTCATCGAAGTTGTATTCAAAGGCGCACATTCCCAATGCCGTTTGATATTGATTCAGAGATTGTGCACATCATGCAATTGAGCGATTTTGGTGTAGTGTAACCCAATTCGTCTCAAACTCGGTTGTAACAGATGTGCAAACAGACTGATATCAAAGAAAATGGATGTAATTATCAAATCGATCATAATCGTCTGGCAATTATAGTAATGGATTGATGATGTTAGGTTAATAATTTCCTAACTGGGAATTACGCCAGGGAAAGTTATTAAATTCCGGTCTGTATTGATGACGTGGCCTTCCATTTTTATACCTTTAAAATTTCCCTTATAACAAAGGACGAATCGACAATTTTTAGATATAATTGATTATAAATTATATTAGTTTCGTGGATTAGCATATCCAGCTCCAAGCGATATCTATATTCCGCCGCTATATCGTCTTTTCGTTCGTTTGAATTTACTCCACACATAACCCTGAAGCAAGATGGGAGTAACGAAGTTACCGAGGAAGTTACATTAGCTCTGGGTTTAGGACCTCGATGTAGAATTTTCAAACGGGATGGTTTCAGAGTTAATTCTCTGTTTTTAATTGAATAACATCTAAAATGTTGGAGATTAACACAAAACTACTTATACTTATACAATGAATGAAACTGCCATTCCATTCTTCAATTAAATAAAGAAAAAGGAAAGGTTTCTCTACTAAAGCAGCGTTTTTGACAAAATGTCTAGTCTAATCTAGCATATTTCGGTTAAATCTAATGGTGAGGCAATGTAGTCCTTACGTAGAGTTCACTATCATTAGATCATTAAGAAATAGCCAATAGAAACAGTATTATTTTGCGTCCCCAACCAACGAAACCATATCTTTGTTTCTGTTGGCTACTTGTTAATGATCTCATGATAGTGAACTAATGATAATGATTGTATAAACCCACCATAACCTTTGTCCGTACAATTTATATCGATTATTTATATCACTCACACTTCGCAATTTATATTTCCGCGCTCGATGAAACCAAGTAGAACAAAGAGCGTTGACTATCTTCCAAGCGCAGTACTTTACCCACTCGTGGTCTTTGCTTTAACAACTCGTCCATTCTTCCAAATCTTTTCCGGAATACGGAAGCCATACCTCTACCCATGCGAAGGTCTTCGGCGACACAATGGGCGATGGAAACGTTAACCGGAAGCTCAAAAATATTTTGACAAATTTCCTGAGTAACGCCAAATCGAGCTTTCTTCCGCTGGGCGTAATTTGACATAAAATCGTTAAAGTTTGGCTCGATCCCAAAGCTGCGTTCCTCTTCTCGAATACCTCTAACTTCTTCGTTGTTGTTGGATCCGGCATATCGTGCGAGTCGATTAATGTGGACAACTTTCGGTTTCCGGTGGTTCATTCTGATACGATATATCACGTCATTTATTTTCTTGATCATCTCATACGGACCTTCCCATTGTCTTTGTAGCTTGGGAGAAAGACCTCTTCGTCTCTGTGGATTGTGCAGCCATACCAGATCTCCAGCTTCAAAAGTTTCATTGGCCGAGCGGAGGTTGTATTGATTTTTCATGCGATCGCTGGCAATCTGAATATGACTTCTAGCCAAGTCGTGAATATCGTTCATCTTCGCCTTTAGTTGGTCAACATAATTTTCACCTGCGACATATTCTTCATGGGGTTTACGCCCAAACTCGAGATCACATGGAAGGCGTAGTTCACGACCCAACATAAGGCAGGCAGGAGTCTGACCCGTGGTCTCGTTGACGGCTGATCGATATGCCATAAGGAACAGGTGGAGGTACTGGTCCCAATTTTTCTGATGTTCTGCCACGACTTTTGAAAGATATTTACCCATCGTTCGATTCATTATCTCAACCATTCCATCTGACTGAGGATGCAAAGGTGTTGTTCTGGTTTTATTGGCTCCTAACAATCGACAAACATCTTGGAACAAAGCCGATTCAAAGTTCCTTCCTTGGTCTGAATGGATTTCTATAGGAACACCAAAACGTGTAAAGAACTCCTTTACCAACACTTCTGCAACTGTTGCTGCCTCTTGGTTTGGAATGGCGTAAGCTTCAGTCCACTTTGTGAAATAATCCATAGCGACTAGGATATATTTATTTCCGCCATCTGTCTCGGGAAACGGTCCTGCGATATCGATAGCAACTCGTTCCATCGGACTACCAACGTTATACTGCCTCATGGGTGCCTTCTTCTTGGAAACTGGTCCGTTTCCAGTAGCACATAACTCACATTTTTGACACCATCGCCGGACATCTTCTTTACGGTTGACCCAATAGAATCGCTCACGTACCCTTTGCAACGTTTTCGTAATACCAAATGTCCTCCGGAAGCGCCGTCATGCAATTTTCGCAATACTTCCGACACTTTGCTTCTAGGTACTACTAATTGCAGCGTCGATTCGGTGCCATCTTCACTTTCAAGGGTCCTATACAACAGGTTGTCTTTCAGAGTCAGGCTATTCCATTGGCTCCAATAACTCTTTATTTCAGGACCTGTGGCACTAATGTCTTGCCAGCCTGGTCTTTGTCCGTGGCGCATCCAATTCAGAACAGTTTTTATACTTGGGTCGTTTTCTTGGGCCGTTTTGATTTCGCTTGGCTTCCATTCCTCACTCTCTACAGTTGTTCGTCGCAGATGGCCAATCTTGTCTTCTATTTTAGAACAATGTGTGCAGTTGTCCTTGCACGGTCTTCTTGACAAAGCGTCTGCATTATTGTGAACTTTTCCAGACGACGTAATGTTTACAGTGAAGATCGGGGCTTTGTTTCTGCAGGTCGACGATAGCCCTTTCCTGTCGACCTTTCTTAGTTTTCCGACTGCTGCAATGGTTTTTGGCAGTTGCGGCGAACGTGTCCAATCTCGCCGTGGTTCACGTTGCTTTGCCAGTGACTGTATTGCTTTATTGATCTTTTCTTCCACTACTTTACTGACCTTTTCTTCCACTACTTTACTAACCTTTTCTTCCACTACTTTACTGACCTTTTCTTCAAAACTTTCAGAGCCACCTTCCTCTTCGATGGTTCTTACCCGGCTCTCACTGCGAGGTTCCACCATACGTACTCGCGCACTTCCATGACTAGCTTTCTTGGCGGCTTCGAATTCTAACGCATGGGCCAAAGCTTTCTCAATTTTGTCGTGCCTAGCCAGTCTCAAAGCCTGCTGGGCATCTCCATCACGAACGGCATCGATAAATGTTTGTACAGCCAGTTGATCAAGAAAGCTCTCCGGTGCCGTAGGGTATGCCAATCGAATCAGTCTAGCGATGTCCGCTTCAAGTTCCTGCAAACTTTCTCAAGGTTTCTGCATTCGGTTCTTGACTTGGGCATAGTAAACTTGCTGAAGGTGTTTATCGCCATATCGCATTTCGAGTCGCGCTACTATTTGTTGGAAGTTCTGTTGATCCTCGGGGATGGTCCGCAACACATCCAGAGCATCTCCTCTCAGAGCAAGAATCAGGGCTGTAGTTTTGTCTTGAAGAGTCCATTTATTTGCCGCAGCCGCTGCTTGAAACTGTCGAACGTACGTGGTCCAAGGAATCTTACCATCAAAAGTAGGTGGCTTTACTCGGACATGCTGAACGTCGCCTTCTACTCTTGTATTTGTTTCTGGGTCGACCTTCTTGTAATGAGTAGACTGTGGCACCTCAAGAAGACGGTCCATCAGTAATTCATCTGGGGCATTATTAGTACGCTCTTCCGTAGTCAGTCGCAAGAATTGCTCGCGCAGCTCTTCATACTTGTGCTCAATCTCAACGAATGTTGCTTTAAATGTTTTGGAAACTTCCGTAATTCTATCTTCAACTTTTTCTTCAATTGATTTAGAGACTTCTTCGATAATCTTTCTAGAATTTTCCTCCATCTTTTCGAACTTCTCGTTCATTTTTCTAGAGTTTTCCTCAATCTTCTCTTCAAAATTTCTAGAATTTTCTTCCAACTTCTCGAACTTCTCTTGAATATTTCTAGAATTTTCTTCATTAATCTTTCTAGAATTTTCTTCCAACTTCTCGAACTTCTCTTGGGTGCTTTTCATTTCTTGTTGCAACACCTGTTGGCCATTTTGGATTTGATGGAGCAAATTGAGCATCGTTTCTTCCATTTTAGCGGCATTTGTTACAGGCATACACAAGCACAAGCACTTAATTTAATCTTACTTTTAATTAATTTAATTAATCCCACTTCTGACACCAATGTAACGTGATTTATAAATTCCGGTTCGATTTATATCAATATTTATTAAACAGAACTAAAACACTATAAAATCCGTACAATTTATATCGATTATTTATATCACTCACACTTCGCAATTTATATTTCCGCGCTCGATGTTTACGTACTCGTTCGGTAGTAGACTGCCGCGATGTTCGGTCCGCAACCATTTATACACGCAAGCAATGTAAGTCCAGTACATTCTCGAATATTCCTACACAAAATCCCACTATCGCGCGCGTAGAAAATTCCAGAGCGCCAAAGGCGACGTCATGTCTGGAGCATTTCCGTTACATTATGTTCAATTCAACTTCTTACAATGATATTTATTGACATCTGCATAAATTGTTTGTAATTGCCTTCATTAAAATACAACCTTTACCTTTCAAAGAAGAATGTGCAGCTACATTTCTCCGAAACACTAACAAAGGGGTTCGATATAAAGCCTGAATGTCATATACAATACAATGTTATATACTTAAAGATCAATCACGTTAGACGTGTGGCGGTAAATTAAGTACAAACGACGTCATTTAACATCACCAAGAAGTTCCTTCCAAACTTGCAAGAGCGACCACCTAAAGATCCACCGCATTAGGTCTATTTCTCCCGAAATGTGCCTAAATTCTAAAGAATCCCTGTAAATCGCTTATTTTCAGAATCTTCTCACTTAGCGATTAGTCCGTCTTTCCAACGAATTGTATAATTAAATTGTACCTCAAACTTACGATC